AGAAACCCAAGGAGGGGTCGCTGTGAGTCAGGTCCAACTCCACGACACATAACAACAACAACAACAACAATGAAGATTAGTATATGATCCTACTACCTGTCTGTCAGTTTATTGTATTCTGGTGACTTGTGATACTGAAAGGTATTCCACTGGTATTTATGTACCAACAAGGCCACCCATGATGGACAGGTTTCAGCAGAGCTTTCTGCCTAAAAAAAAATTTACAGATTACAACAGAATATTGCCCAACTTGCTTGTTTTGGACACATCATCCAGAGGTTCAGTCACTGGAGGAGGGCATTATGTTTTGTGAAATAGAGGGCCAGTAAGGGAAAGGGAGACCCTTAGTGAGACGGATTGGCATAATAGCTGCAACTGTGGACTCATGCTGGTAATTGTGAGGATAATGAAGGACCGTTTCTTTCTGTTGGTAATTGTGAGGATAATGAAGGACCGTTTCTTTCTGTTGTACACAAGGTCGCCATGAGTTAGAATGGACTCCATGGTTTCTATTGGTCTGTTTGTCTATTATATTAGCACATGAAAGAATATAGAGAATGCTCTGTGAGTGTGATGGCTGGTACATACTTGAGAGTTAAGTCATCAGAACGTGAGAATAAGATCAGAAAGTAGCAGTTCCTACAGTTAAAATGAAAAATTAAAATAGAATGAATGAGACTGGCTATTTGTAGAAGTGATTCAGGGGAAATTATAATTTGCCTGTTTTTGACTTACGAGACTGAGGAGAAGAAGTCCAAACAAGATGGCAGGAAGATGGTACCGTGGAAAGCTACAATCCAGTTAGTTGTTGGTGTATTTCTCTCTTCCTGGGATGACAGGTTGTGTTGTTAGCAGAGATGGCTTTTGTGGAGCTGAGATGTGGTTGGCCAGTATTCTTCAGTCCTGTTGATGTAAGTGCTCTGCTTAGTCTGCTAGGCCTTGATCCCTGCTGTGGAGGTGACTCCATATGTTACTCTGATGTCTGGCTTTCCTTGTGGAATCACCTCCATTTCCTATGCTGACTGGCAGGCATTAGTGCCCTGAGGAGTTTAAAAAAAGAAAAAAAAAAAGTCCTAGTTCCTGGGTTCACACTCCTGAAATTCTTACTCAATTGGTCTGTGCTACAGTGGGAAGCGGGTGAGGAGGTGAGGGGCATTGAGAACTCATACCCCTCCGAGGTGATTCTGATGTGCAGTAGTTAGTGACCTGTGCTCTAGGCTTCTTGACCATAACTGGAGTTGATTATCTGTGTGAAGGCTTGTGGGTGTTGAAAAGTTTTAGTTAGTTCCATTCCTAGCTGGGTATAACCAGGGTGAACACACATCTTGATTCACTTACCTTCTTTACATCAGTTGCCTTGGTGTAATATGATGAATTCTTCTTTTACTCCTCAAAGTGTCTGTTGGAATTTAGTAGGATAGCTGACTGACCTGGACTCAGTACACTGTAGGTGCAATCCCAGGCCCAAACAATTGTCTCCTTTGCTCCCTTCACTCTGGGCAAATATCCCAATAGGTAGAGGTATCTGAGGTGGGGGAGCCCAGCCATCTCAACCTCACCCACTCCCATCCATCACTCCCACTCCCTGAGAAATCTAGAGATGTGAGATTCGTTTTGATGAATAGCTAAACCCTTAAAACGATGACATTGGTTTGGCATGGTTTGGGCAATAATTTCTGGCTCCTGTGACTTTCAGGCTTTGAACATTAAGTTCTGGAAGCAGTGATAGAATGAATAGGTTTATAAATGTACATAATTTTGAAATGGTAAATCATCATGCTTTAAACTCATTTTTGTTTCTAGACACAATTGCCACTGTGCCTTGTTTGCATTTTCATTTTTCAGGAACTTTTTGTTGATTTAAATAAGAAAGGGGATGGAGTTGCTGTTTGCTTGCTTAAAAAGTTTACTTTTGATTAAAAACTGGGGTGTGTATTCTGTTACTGGTTCTGCAGTGATTTATTTATAATGGTGTAATCTGTAAGAGATGAAAATAGTTTTCAAGAATATTGTTAACACTGAAGGGACTTTTGTGAAAATCCATGGTAATTGTATCTTTTGTGTTTTTTTTTTTTTTTTTTTTTTTTTTTCCTTGACTTTCAGGTTTTCAAAACTCTTGGCATGGATGTTGTGAAATCTGCATTTGAAGGTTATAATGCTTGTGTCTTTGCATATGGGCAAACTGGATCAGGAAAGTCATACACTATGATGGGAAATTCCGTAAGTTGTTATGCTGCATGGGGAAAATATTTTTCTTTATCTCTCTTTGGACTGACTGAATTATCTCTTATCTCAAATGCAAATGCAGCCACTGCCATGGAGTAGATTGGATCAACTCATGGTGACCCCTCCTTGAGTGGTTTCACTATGGAAGTAGATTGCCCAACCTTCCTTCCCAGGAGTGGCTGGTGGGTTTGAACACCAGCCTTCAGGTTAGCAGTCAAATGCCTTAGGCACTGTGCCACCAGAGCTCCTGTTTCTTATCTACTTGGTCTGTGCTCAGTTGGTTTTCATCTTCTGCTCATTCTTTAGTAATAAGATAAAATTCAGTAATAAGTTGGACTACATTTCCTTTGAGAGATTTTAAATTAGAAATAGTTTTAAGTTAGTAAGCATGAATAATGGATGCAAGTCCCAGTTCATTTTCTGTTTTTAAAGGCTTTCTAATCTTATCAAAAAAGTATTCTGGGCCCACAAGTAATTTATTCTTCTTTTCTGTCAGCCCAAATTTTGTATAGAATTACTGAACTCTTTTCTTTTTAAAATGATTCAAAGCATTTTTCCACCAAGAAAAATATATATTAAAAAAAAAAAGTTAAATTTTTGGTAGAAAGGTACTGCATAAATTGAGAAAATACTTAAAAAGGATCAGTTTCATAGTTTACATAGTTATTTTATAGTGTATAGAGAAGAGTAGTTTTTCTGTACAAATGGACAGGCATTAAGGTTCTTCTCTTTGTCCCAAAAATAGACATCTTCGGAGGAATTTTATCTTTTCCTGTGTTTTCTCCTGATCTAAATAGTGTTTATGCATTTTATTATTCTGCATTATAGTGAAAGTTCTGTTCAGTGACTTCTGAGACTTGTGGCATGTTCTGGATGAGATCCTGCTAGAGGATTGCAGGGATTCCTGTCAGCAGGCACAATAGTGTCTTTATGCTAAAGGTTTGGTGGTCCACGGAAGTGATGTATTAAAGGAGCACACGTCTTTCTAGATGAAATATTTTTGTGTGTGTAACCTGGCTTCTTACATCCAGGCTTTTCCTTTACAAAAGAAGTATATAAATGCCGTGCTTTGAATTCACAAGGCAGAAAAATAGAGAAGAATATATAAGAGAAAACCAAATAAGTGAAGAATAGATAATTTGAGAGTTTTACATTTCCTTTTAACTTACTTCTTTTTTCCTACTTTCCTACCATATCTTTGAAACCAAACCTGTCTCTAAAAAGTAAATTTATGTGTTGATTCCCTAGTGATTGTTTTATATAAGTTAAACATTTATAGAGTGCTAATAAATAATGTGTTTTTCTTTGACCTTGTAGTTGAGGATAGCTTGGGTATTTAAAAATTATTCTTAAAGCAAGCAAAAAAACAAGTATAGTGAAAGGCCCATTTATTCTTGATAAGAACTAGTGTTGATGTAATAATACAAGGAACAAAAGTTCTGTTAAGCAGTGATGATATTGCTTTTAATTTGGAGTCGAGTTGGATGAATGTAGGAAGAGACTTCAGAAGAAAACGTTAGAAATCCAGGTTCTGAAGCTGGATACTGTTTTTAGTATTTATTATTCTGGGATTCATCAGCATGACAATACTAGCTGAAACATGAATATTATTGAATATTATGCCCACATTGTATAAGTAATATGATATATTAAAATCTTCCTGTTTAGTAATGCCAGTCTAGGGATTTGTTCATTAAAGATGGGATATTCTGCTGTAAAACCTGCGAAAGCTAGAACCTGTGTAAAGTGGAAACCAGTTAGAAGGAGAACTCAAAAGTTTTTTCCACAAAAATGAGCAATACCAAAGTGGTAGGACTGCACCCTGTCAAAGGTGGAAAACTTGTGAGACCAGGATGTACAAGGCAGTCCCATTCCAGTTCCGACTCTCACAGGTTTCACTATACAATTCTTAGTCTTTCCTCCAAGGAGACACACATGAAGGATGGTATCTACACAAAAGTATGTCCACTGTGTGATTCCTGCAGCGGCCATCTCACTCAGCACCCACCTTCACGCTCCAGACCGGGCTCTAGAATGCAGGGTGAGGGAGATGAGTTTCATTATGAGGACAGCCTTTAATGTAAGCATGAATAATGTAGTACTGTCACTTTAGTTTTAAGGCAATTAGTAACTACTTTGTGGACTTACACTTACACTTGCACACCGTGATTTAACTGGTTAACAACTGATAACTTTATATTTCCAAAGCACCAACATATAGAAACTATAAGGAACAACCCTCTCATTTCAGACAGCTGGAAGCAATCCTGGAGGATGGGTAAATAGTGTGTTTGGAGTCCCAAGGTGGTTGGACTAGAGTTGGCATGTTGTTGTTGTTGTTATTTGCCATCGAGTCGGCCCCGACTCATAGCGACCCCTTCTTGGGTTTCCGAGGCAGTATCACTATGGAAGTAGGAATGCCCAACCTTCCTTCTGAGGAGTGGCTGGTGGGTTTGAACCACCAGTCTTCTGGTTAGCAGTCAAGTGCCTTAGGCACTATGCTACCAGAGACCCCTTAACTCCCAGTCCACTCCAGCAAATTGCACATTCAGCCATAGGTTGCATTTATTTCAAGTGACACTGTAGCTTTCTTCCTTCCCATTGCAGGGTGATTCTGGCTTAATACCTCGGATCTGTGAAGGGCTCTTCAGTCGGATAAATGAAACCACTATATGGGATGAAGCATCTTTTCGAACTGAAGTCAGGTAGGACCCATGGCCTGAGTGACTGAGTATGTGCTTGGTTAGAGTCAAGGTTCTTCGGGTTGATTCTAAGGACTAGGAATGGATAAGACCCTTAACTTTCTAAGGAAAAATTCTACCTTTTCCCTTTCCTCTATTTAAGATAGCCGAAATAAAACTTAAAACACTTAAGTTTCCAATGACTTCTTTGGGGACAGTTTTGGCCAGGATTTGGGAGACTGGTAGGAAAAACCTAGTTTGGTCAGAAACTCTACTGTAGGATATTTATCTTAAATGAAATGAGCCCTTGTTATTTAAGTGTATATCTAATTCACTTGCTTTATTCTTTTAGCTGAATTGGCTTTATGTCATTCTTCATGTTGGTAGGATTACTATAAATCTAATCAGTGACTTGGGTGATTGCTGTGCTTTTTCCTCCTTAAAATTAAATCTGCATAGATAGTCACCATCTTTGGTGGTTACTGGGGCAGATATGGCAATCTAGGGTTTATGCTACTTTACCTCTCAGGGCTATGTGGCCTTGGACATGTTATTTAAATCACCCAAAACCTCTGTTGCCTAACCTACGAAGTGGGGAATAATAACAGTACTATCCCTTACTTATTTTAGGGATTAAATGAAATAATTCGCACAGTATGGGTATATAGTTCTCCCTATAAAGTTAGTTTCTTCTGTATTTTAATGTTGATATTAATAATTTTTCTGAATCAATTCTATTTAAAATTTTAGCTACTTAGAAATTTATAATGAACATGTGAGAGATCTACTTAGGCGGAAGTCCTCCAAAACCTTCAATTTGAGAGTCCGTGAGCATCCAAAAGAAGGGCCTTACGTTGAAGGTAGGAGTCGGTACTTCACAGCTCCATACTTCTTGGAAATTCATGTGAAAATAAGACTTTCATAAGGAAAAAGACAGTAGAATAATGGGATGTTGTTGTTGTTGTTATGTGCTGTCGAGTCAGACCCAACTCATAGTGAACCCTCCTTGGGTTTCTGAAGCAGTATCACTACAGAAGTAGATTGCCCCATCTTCCTTCCAAGGAGTGGCTGGTGAGTTTGAACTGCCAGCCTTCTGGTTAGCAGTCAGGTGCCTTAGGCACTATGCTACCAGAGCTCCACAGAATAACAGGATTGGAAACTTTAATTTTTGGCATTTTATTATAACAAAATAATATGAGCTGTCATTACGCAGTATTCATTTGATGAATTCATACTTCACTTGATGTTCACTGATTTCATGGGGCTTGCTTAGAAACATGTATCTAATGTTGTCAGGGAAGATGCATAAGCCTGTCTCCTGTCTCTTAAATGGAATTACATTTTAGCAATGTATTTTTACTGATCCTGATGATGGTATGTGATCATAAAGATATTCTAACACTTCTTACCTGTGAAGAAGAATATTTGCAAGGTTTCCTATGCTTTC